GAGAGGAAAGAAGAAAGGGAGGAAAGGAAGGAAGGAGAAAGAGGAGAGAGGGAAGGAGAGGGATGAAAGGAAGGAAGGGAAGAAAGGAAAGAAGGAGAAAGGAGGGAAGGAAGGAAGGAAGGAAGGAAGGAAGGAAGGAAGGAAGGAGAAGGAGAGATGGAAGGAAGGAGGGATGAAAGGGTGGAAGGGAAGGGAGGGAATGGAGAGAAAGAGGGAGCGAGAGAAGGAAGGAGGAAGGAGGGAAGGAAGAAAAAAAAAGGGAAGGAAGGAGAAAGAGGAGAGAGAGAAGGAAGGCTGAAAGGGTGGAAGAGAAGGATGGAAGGAGAAAGAGGGAGTGAAGGGAGGGCGGTAAGGAGGAAAGAAAGGGAGAAGGAAGAAAAGATAAAAAGGGAGGAAATGAGGGAAGGACAAAAGGGTGGAAGGGAAGAATGGAAGGAGGGAAGGAAAGAAGGAAGGAGAAAGATGGAAAGGAAGGACAAAAGGTGGAAGAGAAGGGAGGGAGAAAGAGGGAGGGGAGAAAGGAAAGAGGGGAAAGAAGGAAAAACAAAAAGGAAAGATGGAAGGGAAAGAAAGAGGGAGGGAAGGAGGAAGGAAAGAGAGAAGGAGGGAAGGATAGGATGATGAGAGAGAGGAGGGCCTGAGAAAAGAGCTCAAGGGGCAGCATCCACCCCCTGGGCCTGGATTTGCCCATACCTGTGTTAGTGGCATGTATATGTGTAAGTTGACCTTATACCTGCTTAATATGTACAATTTTGATCATTGCAGAAGTTGGTCCTTCCTTCCTTCCACTGCAGCAACCAAAACTTCCTTCCAAGCCTGCTTTAGAGTCACCAAAGTTCTCCTCCTGCCCTTGGCCACTTTTGCCAGGAGAGCAAGGAAGGGTGACCAAAGCATTTGACATGTTCCTATAGTTCAGTGCTTCTCAACCTGTGGGTCTCCCAGAAATCCTTAGGCCAGTGGTTCTCAACCTGGGGGTCAGGACCCCTGTGGGGGTCGTGAGGGGGTGTCAGAGGGGTCACCAAAGACCATCAGAAAACATAGTATTTTCTCCTTGTCATGGGTGTTCTGCGTGGGAAATTTGGTCCAATTCTATCATTGGTGGGGTTCAGAATGCTATTTCATTGTGGGTGAACTATGAATCCCAGCAACTACAACCCCCAAATGGCAAGGTCTATTTTCTCAAAACTCTACCAATTTTCACATTTGGGCATATTGATTATCTGTGCCGAGTTTGATCCAGATCCATCACTGTTTGAGTCCACAGTGTTCTATGTATATAGGTGAACTACAACTCCAAAAACTCAAGGTTAGTGTCCACCAGACTCTCCCAGTATTTCTCTTGGCTATGGGAATTCTGTGTGCCACGTTTCATTCAATTCCATCATTGATGGAAGTTCAAAAGTCTCTTTGATTTTAGGTGAACTATAAACCCCAGCAACTCCAACATTCCCAAATGACAAAATCAATCCCAGTATTTAAATTTGGGTGTATGGGGTCTTTGTGCCAAATTTGGTCCAGTGAATGAAAATACATCCTGCATATCAGATATTTACATTACTATTCATAACAGCAGCAAAATTAAAGAAGTAGCAACGAAAATAACGTTATGGTTGGGGGTCACCACAACGTGAGAACCTGTACTAAGGGGTCGCGGCATTAGGAAGGTTGAGAGACACTGCCTTAGGCAAACTGGCTGGGATTACTGGGAGTTGTAGGCCAAAATATTTGGAGACCCACAAGTTGAGAAGCCCTGCTGTAGTTAGACCCCAAACGATCACTTCTTTGGATGAGACCCTATGGAGATATTTGGGAGATGATAGGGTTACTTCATGATTGTTTGCCTTCACCTGCATTATCCAGAATGGCCACGGATAGGTAGTATCAGTGGCTCCATGACAGACCCTGGAAATGGCAAGAAGCTCATTGTCGTGTGCATACTACACTGCAATGAGCTATGCAGGATTGCAGCAGGGAATACTGACTGCCATCTTCTAAACCAGGATTTGGTCATTAGTTAATCTGGGATGGTCAGTGTTTCTAGGTGAGTGCCCAAACTCTCTACAGGCTATGCAGATTTTGTGTTTACTATATTAAAAAACCAACTGGAGACTCCTTCCCCATTTCCTCTTGCTCAAATGGCAACCTGAATAGTAATGACAGTATCACACACACACAAAAAGACCTGATTAAAAAAAATCTCATACATGTCACATAGTTACCAGCAGGATGTATGAAACCCGACATCTTACGTCCGTACCTGATACCGTAAATTGAATCAAAAGATGAAAAAGTGTATAATATTCATACATTAACTACGGTCCTATATTTATATATATGTATATATACCATTATGTGTATAAAAGCTTGTGGATGAGTCCTTCATGAACAATTTAAGACATCCTTGTACATGGTTCAATAAGGAGCAGGAAAGAAGTCAAGACAGAATGGGAGCGTTAAGGCTGCGTTTCTCAACCTGAGAGTTTCTCAACCTGGGGGGTGGGGTGCCAGCGGGTGTCAGAAGGGGTCGCCAAAGACCATCAGAAAACACAGTATTTTATGTTGGTCATGGGGGTTCTGTGTGGGAAGTTTGGCCCAATTCTATCATTGGTGGGGTTCAGAATGCTCTTTGATTGTAGGTGAACTATAAATCCCAGGAACTACAACTCCCAAATGTCAAGGTCTATTCTCCGTCTATTTTCCCCAAATTCCACCAGTGTTTGCATTTTGGCATATTGAGTATTTGTGCCAAGTTTGGTCCAGATCCATCATTGTTTGAGTCTACAGTCCTCTCTGGTTCTAGGTGAACTACAACTCCAAAACTCAAGGTCAATGCCTACCAATCCAGTATTTTCTGTTGGACAGGGGAGGTTTGTTTGCCAAGTTTGGTTCAATTTCATAACTGGTGGAGTTCAGAATGCCATTTGATTGTAGGTGAACTATAAATCCCAGCAACTACAACTCTCAAATGTCAAGGTCTATTTTCCCCAAATTCCACCAGTGTTCCCATTTGGGCAGATTGAGTATTCATGCCAAGTTTGGTCTAGATCCATCATTGTTTGATAGATCTGGAGCTACATCCAGAGATGTAGTTCGCATACATCTCTGGATGTAGGTGAACTACAACTCCAAAACTCAAGGTCAATGCTTATTAACCCAGTCTTTTGTATTGGTCGTGGAAATTCTGTGTGCCAATTTTGATTCAACTCCATCATGTTGGAGTTCAGAATGCCCTTTGATTGTAGGTTAACTATAAATACCAAGTGATAGTAGGTGAACTACAACTCCAAAACTCAAAGTCAATGTCTACCAACCCAGTATTTTCTGTTGGTTAGGGGAGTTTTGTTTGCCAAGTTTGGTTCAATTCCATCATTGGTGGAGTTCAGAATGCTCTTTGAGTGTAGGTGAACTATAAATCCCAGCAACTACAACTCCCAAATGTCAAGGTCTATTTCCCCCAAACTCCACCAGTGTTCACATTTGGGCATATTGAGTATTCATACCAAGTTTGGTCCAGATTCTCCTATATCTCTGCATGTAGGTTAACTACAACTCCTAAACCCAAGGTCAATGCCTACTAACCCAGTCTTTTGTGTTGGTCGTGGGAATTCTGTGTGCCAAGTTTGATCCAACTCCATCATGATGGAGTTCAGAATGCCTTTTGATTGTAGGTTAACTATAAATACCAAGTGATAGTAGGTGAACTACAACTCCAAAACTCAAAGTCAATGTCTACCAACCCAGTATTTTCTGTTGGTTAGGGGAGTTTTGTTTGCCAAGTTTGGTTCAATTCCATCATGGTGGAGTTCGGAATGCCCTTTGATTGTAGGTTAACTATAAATCCCAAATGATAGTAGGCGAACTACAACTCCAAAACTCAAGACCAATGCCTACTAACCCAGTATTTTGTGTTGGTCGTGGGAATTCTGTGTGCCAAGTTTGATTCAACTCCATCATGGTGGAGTTCAGAATGCCCTTTGATTGTAGGTTAACTATAAATCCCAAATGACAAAATCAATCCCCTCCCAACCCCACCAATATTCAGATTTGGGCATATTGGGGACTTGTGCCAAATTTGGTCCAGTGAATGAAAATACATCCTGCATATCATACCTTTCCATTACGATTCATAACAGTAGCAAAATTACAATTATGAAGTAGCAATGAAAATAATTTTGGGGTTGGGGGTCACCCCAACATGAGGAACTCTATTAAGGGGTCGCGGCATTGGGAAGGTTGAGAAACACTGCTTTAAGAGCTCATTGCTGCACTTTTGCATTATTTTTGTGTCATTTTTTTTTGCTGTTCATTGTACAACAGGAGACAGAAAGGGAAAGAAAAGTCTCCTCCCCCAAAATCTTCCATTTTTCTACCTCTACATACAATAACTTACAAGTTTATTTATTTAAATAATTGCAAAACATCTTACATTTCCCTCCCGCCCCCCATTTTAAAAGAGATTAAACTATAAGCAAATACACACATACGTCCATGTTCCACCACTCGTCTCAGTTTTATAAGAAAGTCTTCCGTGCTGGTACCCTGTTTTATGATTTATTTCCTTTTTTTAAATTTTCTGCATAAACTAAATTGGTATCTGAAAGGCTCCATAGAAAATAGAACTTCAACTTTTTCCCCCCGCTCCCCTTTACAAAGTAAAAACGAAAAGAGTATCGAAAATATCAAGCTTGAATGGTTGGCCGATGTGTTCCTCCTTTGAGTGTCTTATAAACATTCCTCCCTTGAGGATCTTATAAACGTACGAAACTTGCACTCGTTCTCATAGACCGCGCATCCGTCGGGATCGTAGCCAGTTCCTGCTTAGTGTTGGGCGTCGATGTAAAGGAAGCCTCCTAGCGTGCCCAATCCATGCAATGTTCTCCATTGTCCTTCTGCACATGGCTTCCACCAAAACAGACAGCAAGTAGTGCTTTGTTGGGTTCTCACCCCTCCTTTATTAGTGCTCCATAATAACAAGTTGTTTGCTTGTATGTTTGGCTGTAAAAAAAAAAAAAACAAGGAAGGAAAAGGAGGGGAAGAGGCTCCAGCAGTTCCTCTTCTTTTACATTGGAGGGACAACAAGACCAGTCATAGCTGAAAATGAAAATTGGAGAACATTATTATTATTTATTAATTTATTTATTTACTTTGCTTATATACCGCTGTATCTCAAGCCCGAAGGCGACTCACGGCGGTTCACAAACAGTAAAAACAGTAGAAACAGCAGTGGTTCTATACAACATATAACAATTGACTTAACACATTATCCATAAATTACCAATAAGCAATTACAATGCACAATTATTACAAAAAACAACCGTACCCAATCTTCTCATCATCCAAGCGTAGTCCAGGTTCGTCGTCCATAGTTCCATTCCTATGTTCCATTACCAGATTGCACTAAATTACTCAAACGCCTGCACAAACATCCAGGTCTTCACCTTTTTGCGGAATACCATTAGAGATGGTGCTAGTCTAATGTCCGTAGGAAGGGCGTTCCACAGCCGAGGAGCCACAACCGAGAAAGCCCTATCTCTCGTCCCCGCCAGCCGAGCTTGAGAAGCAGGCGGGATCGAGAGCAGGGTCTCCCCGGAAGATCTCAAAGTCCTGGTGGGTTCATAGACAGAGATGCTTTTGAAACAGAAAGACGTAGACATTAGGGCTGGGTAACCACGGAAAAATTTGTTTCTAAACTCAATTCGTTTCCAGGGGGCGCTAGCGTTTCCAAATTCTAAATACTTCCGAAATTTTGAGATTTCAAAATTTCGTTATTTACGAAATTTCGTTAATTTCGAATCGATTCGTTAATGGCGGACGCGATTGCGCAATACGCTAAAAAACCCTCCAAATGGGACAGGGGGAACTTCTGGAGCTTCCCTCTCCCTCTGTTGTTGACTGTTGGTGTGATAATTTATTTTTTATCACTGATAAAACAAACAACAACTATAAAACTTGCACCAGACGTACAGACATACGGAAATAATTTCGAAACAATTTCGAAACAATTTCGAAACAATTACGAAATAAATTGAAAAAATTGTTTCGATTTTTAATTACTCCTGCATGGCTCAATATCGGATCATAAGCTAATTTAAATATGAATTAATAACGAATTACGAAATTAACGAACGAAACCGCCCAGCCCTGGTAGACATATATAGACATGGCACAAATCAGGGGTCCTCAAACTTTTTAAACGGGGCCCGTTCACTGTCCCTCACACCGTTGGAGGGCCGGATTATATGTAAAGGTTTTCCCCTGGCATGGTCCAGTTGTGTCTGACTCTGAGGTGTAGTGCTCATCTCCATTTCTAAACCGAAGAGCCGGCGTTGTCCATAGACACCTCCAAGCTCATGTGCCCGGCCTGACTGCATGGAATGCCGTTACCTTCCCGCCAGAGCGGTACCAATTGATCTACTCACATTTGCATGTTTTCGAACTGCTAGTTTGGCAGACTCCAGCAAAGGATCACCGCCTTGTCGGCGCTGGAGCTTGAGCACCTCAATGATGTCATGAGCGAAACCGTGAAGGGCCACCCAAGACGGGACGGTCGTGGCAGAGAGGTCAGACCAAGCGTGATCCCTGGGGAAGGCAATGGCAAACCACCCCAGTATCCTTGCCAAGAAAACTAAATGGACCAGTACAACCAGAGATATGTCGGTATGCCATTGGAAGATGGGACTCCCAGGTCGGAAGATGGCCAAAATGCTACTGGGGAGGAGCAGAGGATAGCAACAGTCAGAACTGACCACGGAACAACAGACTGGTTCAAGATTGGGAAAGGCGTCTGGCAAGGCTGCATCCTCTCACCCAACCTTTTTAACTTGTATGCAGAACACATCATGCGAGGATGTGCGGGGCTTGAGGAATGCAAAGCTGGGGTGAAAATTGCTGGAAGAAACATTAACAACCTCAGATATGCAGATGACACCAATCTGATGGCCGAAAGCGAGGAGGAGCTGAGGAGCCTTCTAATCAAGGTGAAAGAAGAAAGCGCAAAAGCTGGGTTGCAGCTAAACATAAAAAAAAAACCAAGATTATGGCAACAAGAATGATTGACAACTGGAAAATAGAGGGAGAAAACGTGGAGGCCGTGACAGACTTTGTATTTCTAGGCGCAAAGATGACTGCAGATGCAGACTGTGGCCAGGAAATCAGAAGATGCTTCCTTCTTGGGAGGAGAGCAATGTCCAGTCTCGATAAAATAGTAAAGAGTAGAGACATCACACTGGCAACAAAGATCCGCCTAGTCAAAGCCATGGTATTCCCTGTAGTAACCTACGGATGTGAGAGCTGGACCTTAGGGAAGGCTGAGCGAAGGAAGATAGATGCTTTTGAACTGTGGTGTTGGAGGAAAGTGCTGAGAGTGCCTTGGACTGCGAGAAGATCCAACCAGTCCATCCTCCAGGAAATAAAGCCCGACTGCTCACTGGAGGGAAAGATACTAGAGACAAAGTTGAAGTCCTTTGGCCACATCATGAGGAGACAGGAAAGCCTAGAGAAGGGAATGATGCTGGGGAAAGTGGAAGGCAAAAGGAAGAGGGGCCGACCAAGGGCAAGATGGCTGGATGGCATCCTTGAAGTGACTGGACTGACCTTGAAGGAGCTGGGGGTGGTGACGGCCGACAGGGAGCTCTGGCGTGGGCTGGTCCATGAGGTCACGAAGAGTCGGAGACTACTGAACGAATGAACAACAACAACAATATTGGCAGAAGCTACGGCTCACAATAATCCTATGATCAGGGGCGGCTCATCCATTACGCAAAGTAAGCTGTCGCAGTACACTTTTTTTTTTGCCAGGGGTGCAGAGGCGCCTCTGTAAATGCCCCTCGACCACCACTTGATCCCACCTCATAGAATCACAGAGTTGGAAGAAACTTCATGGGCCATCCAGTCCAACCCCATTCTGCCAAGAAGCAGGAAAATCACATTTAAAGCATTCCCAACAGATAGCCATCCCACCTCTGAAGAAGAAGCCACCACCACGCTCCAGGGCAGAGAGTTCCACTGCTGAACAGCTCTCACAGTCAGGAAGTTCTTCCTAATGTTCAGGTGGAATCTCCTTCCCTGTAGTCTGAAGCCATTTCTCATAAAAAGACTCATATTATCATAGAATCATAGAGTTGGAAGAGATCTCGTGGGCCATACAGCCCAACCCCATTCTGCCAAGAAGCAGTAAAATCTCATTCTAAGCACCCGCGACAGATGGCCAGCCAGCTTCTGCTTAAAAGTCTCCAAAGAAGGAGCCTGCACCACATTCTGGGGCTGCTGAACAGCTCTTACAGTCAGGAAATTCTTCCTAATGTTCAGGTGGAATCACCTTTCTTATAGTTTGAAGCCATTGTTCCGCTTCCTAGTCTCCAGGGCAGCAGAAAACAAGCTTGCTCCCTCCACCCTGTGGCTTTCTCTCACATATTTATACATGGCCCTCATCCTATCTCCTCCCAACCTTCTCTTCTTCAGGCTAAACATGCCCAGCTCTTTAAGCCGCTCCTCATAGGGCTTGTTCTCCAGACCTCTTGTTATGTCAGATTAGAATCCCCCAACTCCTCCACTGATCTATAGATACACCACTGTTCCCCTTTAGTCACTTCCTGGTCAGATGATTGTAATGAGCTTTGCTTTAGTGTTTTCTTTGAAAACATTTCTGAAACTCCAGAATCTGGTCACAAGGATGCTTGGTGGAATGGGTAGATCAGAAGATACACCTCTTATTTCGTTGCATTGAATTGTTTATTAATAAATTACTATTTACAGTCCTGTAGTATATACAATGATCTTGTCAAACATATATACCTGATTCTAAAACAACACATTCCTCAATTCACACTCAGACTTAAGTCCAATTCAGAACCCAATAATTGTATATCTGGGTTGCTGTGAGTTTTCCAAAGTGCCTGGCTATATTCCAGAAGCATTCTCTCCTGACATTTTGCCCACATCTGTGGCAGGCATCCTCAGAGATTGTGAAGTCTGTTGGAAACTAGGCAAATGGGGTTTATATATCTGTGGAAAAATGTCCAGGGTGGGAGAAAGAACTCATGTCTATTTGAGGCAAGTGTGAATGTTGCAATTGGCAACCTTGATTATTATTGAATAGCCTTGCAGCTTCAAAGCCTGGCTGTTTCCTGCCTGGGGGAATCCTTTGTTGGAAGGTGTTAACTGGCCTTGATCATTTCCATGAATTCTCATTTTCTGAGTGTTGTTCTTTATTTACTATCCTGATTTTAGAGTTTTTTAAAATACTGGTAGCCAGATTTTGTTGATTTTCATGGTTTCTTCCTTTCTGTTGAAATTGTCCACATGCTTGTGGATTTCGATGGCTTCTCTGTGTAATCTGACACGGTAGTTGTTAGCGTGGTCCAGCATTTCTATGTTCTCAAATAATATGCTGTTTCAAGTGCCCTGCTATGGCTGACTCCTCTGGTTGAATTAGTCTCCAAAAAGGAAACAATTAAGGCCAAATAATCCCTCCCAACAAAGGATCCCCCTGGGCAGGAAGCAGCCAGGCTTTGAATTTGCAAGGCTATTAAATGTTAATCAAGTCCTGGGTACCACAATTCAAGAGAGATATTGACAAGCTGGAATGTGTCCAGAGGAGGGCGACTAAACTGATCAAGGGTCTAGAGAACAAGCCCTGTGAGGAGCGGCTTAAAGAGCTGGGCATGTTTAGCCTGAAGAAGAGAAGGCTGAGAGGAGATATGATAGCCATGTATAAATATGTGAGATGAAGCCACAGGGAGGAGGGAGCAAGCTTGTTTTCTGCTTCCTTGGAGACTAGGATGCGGAACAATGGCTTCAAACTACGATATTCCGGCATATAAGACGACTGGGCGTATAAGACGACCCCCAACTTTCCCAGTTAAAATATAGAGTTAAGACGACTCCCATGCATAAGACTACACCCGTGTATAAGACGACCCCTGACTTTTGAGAAGATTTTCTTGGGTTAAAAAGTAGTCTTATACGCCAGAATATACTGTACAAGAGAGGAGATTCCATCTGAACATGAGGAAGAACTTCCTAACTGTGAGAGCCGTTCAGCAGTGGAACTCTCTGCCCTGGAGTGCTTCCTTCTTTGGAAGCTTTTAAAC